CAACTCCCAGAATTCCCCAGCCAGCATGGCTGGCTGGAGAATTCTGGGAGTTGAAGTCCATCTATCTTAAAGTTGCCAAGGTTGAGAAACACTGCTTTACAGTAATCCTGTCCACTCTGTAGTTTGGACTGCAGATTGCTGCAACTGACCCCTTTAATACCAGTACCCTCATCTCAGCCTGAGCATAAGCTACCTCTTGGGTGTGAAGCAGAAATCCAAGTAGGGCAGCTATTGCAAGTTATGGAGATCTGCCTGTTAAGTTGCCTAAAGATACCTGTGGATGTGTTCACACATGCTTAATTAGGTCACATTAAGCCCTAGCAGCTGCCTTTGCAAATTGGGCAAAGGATGGGGCTAAACTTGCTAATTTAGGTTTTCTTGAGGCTTAGCATGTTTGGTGGTATAAATCCTTCTCCTGTCTCCTCGGCTGGTTTCTGCTCCAAGGTCTTGGGGCAGTTGAGTAAGTCGGTTAAGTGTATTGTGCAAATGGAGGCAGCAGCAGCAGGTCTCCAAGCCACAGACTTCTTCATGCATCCAAATGAATGTAGCTGCCCCGCCTGTAGCTGTCAGCCTGCAATCCAGCTGGTTTGGTTGGTAAGACTCAGGAATTTGTAGGTGAGAAGCACAAAGGAAAGGAAGGAGGCTGGAGAGAGATGAAGATGGAAAACAGCTGATGGAGGTAGGGAGGTGGAGGACTCTCTGGAGACTCTAGCTCCTTTGCCGAAGGTGAGAAAGCCGGGCTGTTTTCTAGGAGTAGAGTTGAGTGGGAATTGGAAGTTTCTATGGGATTCTGAAAGCCTCACTTTGAGCATCGTTGTTTGGAAGGAAACTCTAGTAAGGACGGGAGAGATCTTGGATTCGGTTTCTAGGGGAAGGAGAGTGGTTGCGGGGTTAGAACAAAAATGGTCTGTCCTCCCCCAGACATCAGCAGTTGAGGACCACCCTCTTACTCCAATCTTCCTCCTCTCAAATTGCCCATCCCTAGCCCTTTGTGTATATTCCTAACCAAATTATCCTTCCTTAGACATAGGAAAAGTTTGGGGTAGAGTTTCACAGTAGGATGCCCACTGCTCTGGGCATTGGAAAGTAGAGAGGAGCTTGAGAACTAGGTGACTGATTGGTTATGTGCTCCCAAATAGGTGTCAGCTCTTAGTGATCCCATAGCTGAATTTTCTCCAGGACCATCTGTTCCCATCCTGGTCCTTCAGATCTTCCAGTGGTGCACCCATGGCTACTGTAATTTAATCCATCTACCTTGCTGCTGGTCATCCTCTTCTTCTTTTTCCTTTCACCTTTCCCAGCATCATGGACTTCTTAAGAAAGCTAGGTGGGAGCTAGGAGGTTGGGGAAGATCTTGAGATCCATGCCCAAAGTTGGAGATTTCTCACCTCCCTGGACCCTGGCCTTTGGCCCATGTCAGGGAGGGGACCCTGAATTACCTGGCCTCTTGGTGGGGATAATTGGGCTTTTAATATTCCAGGACATTCTTGGCAGCCAGTGAGTCAGGCTTCAGTGAGTTTGACGCCAGTTCTCGCATTCCCTACTTGCAGTCTTGCATCCTCAAGAGGCTGATCAGGACTTGGAAGACGCATCAGCTTGGCTTCTGGCATCACTGAGAGATCAGATTTAGTTTTGGGAGCCACTAAGAATTTCTTCCCATAGAATGGAACAAGGCTGGAATCCAAGAGTTTGACTGGCAAGGCCACAGCTTTTTCAAGCTTCAATTCATCTTCTGTCTTGGACAGGCATTTTTGGGATTTGCTTCCAGCAAGGAGAATGCCAAAGCAGAACATGGGAGAGCTTTTTTATAAGCACTTTTCCTGGGCAGGTGAGTTGTAGACCTGGGAAGAAGGATGGGAAGTCTTCATGGGAAATTGCCTGGTCGTGATTTGTGATGAACTCAGCCAAGGTTTTGTGGTGTGGAATTGATTAGCTGTTGGAGATTTCAGTTAGCTCTTGGCAAGATAGTTAAAGCAAGCTGAGAAACTGGAAAACCCCTATTAATAAGTGAAAGCATTTTGCTCATTTATTTCAAGACAGAGACAATGTTGGATTCCTTTCTATGTATCTAACTGCTCTCTTGTTAATCCTTTCCATAAATTCTGAGTGCAAGGAGTACAGAAATAAGTCATAACAGCCATCTGGAAAATTGGCAGTTGCCAAATGAGTCTAAAAACACCTACCTTGCTTGCTCCTGTGCCCTTTCAGGTTGCATGATTGGCAGAAATTGAAGTCCAAGGACTTTCCCGTGATGAAGAGCATGACAAGAAGCTTGTCTCCAGCAGTTTAAGCTGCTGTTAAAGGCAGCTGGTAGACAACCTGGTTGCTTGAGAAGATGGTGGGATAGGGTGGGGAATTTTGCTCTGCCAGATATTACTGAACTACCAGGACTCCCAGCCATCATGGCTGATGATGAGGGATATTGGGAGTTGTCGTTTAGTGGTATCTGGAGGGTCACTGGTTCTTGATCCCTGAAATGGGAAGGGCCTCTTCTGGTTGAGAGACATTTGAGTGAAATGGGATTGCAACCAGAAGATGTGGTAGGAAGATAATGTGCCAAGCCAAGACACTTTCTTTGTTCTCCTGACAGCCTGTTTCTTGGGCCTGTGGATTACTCTGGTCCAAGCAAGGATCAAGATTGTATCCATTCCGGAGACCCCTGTCGAAGGCCAGAACGTCACTTTCTCTGTGGAAAATGTTCAGGGTGACATCCGCGAGGTCAGCTGGTTCCGAGGGATGGCCTCTCAGGGGTCCACAAGGGTCTTTAGCTACTTTCCTGGAAATGGTCGTCCGCAGCGCAACGGGGTCCAGTTTACCAACAGAGAATTTGGTTTCCCCAATGGGTCTCTTCTCATCACTGGAATCAGGCCCAGTGACGCTGGCCGATACAACGTCATAATCCTCCTCCGGCCCAAAGAAATTCTCAATGCCTCCACTGACCTTCAGTTGGCTAGTGAGTATTTGGTCCTCTGGTTCTTGATCTAGTCCCCCTTTTTGCACCCTCTGTGCTTGTCCCAGGTCAAATCCCCAAATGCAAAAGGTGGCTGAAAAGGAACAATTGTCAACACTTTGCTTCAGTGTGTTGGTTCTAACCTTCTCCAACCTGGTGCTTGCAGGATGTTTCCCAGGCTGGCTGAGAATCAAGAGACATTCTCCAACAGGGTGCCAGGTTGGGGAAAACAACCGTCACTGTCCTGGCTCTGAACTAAAGTAGGCTGTTTTGCAACATTTGGGCTCATCCCTGAAAAAATATTAATTCACTGAAGGTGGCCCATTTGTGTGTGTGTGTGTGTTTCTAAAGCAACTGCTTTTGTGTAATTTCTTACAAAGAGGTGATATTTTAGACAGCATTCTACGCATGCATTACCTAAAACTGAAAAAAAAGAGATTTCTTTTCCTCCCTTTTCTCAAGACAATCATCTGAGTTATATACAAATGGATGCAAGTTTAGTTCATCTTCAATTAATAGCATTCACCCTTGATTAAGTGATAAAGCAGAAGCCCAGATTGGAAGCCTTGGGGGCTACTGAGGAAAAGTGCTGCTTTTCTGGGGATCCAAGCAAAAGACAACTGGGACCTTCCTCCCAGGAGGGTCATGGGGTCAAAAAAGTCAAGATGGTGGCCAAAACAGTGTCACTGAAGCCCCAGTCCTTTTTAATGCAGTCACGACCCCCCTGCTCCATCTTGATTGTGAAGCAGAGCAATGGTGCCATGAAAGCGTCTTAACAAGCCCCATCCTTAAGAATCTTATCTCCAAATCATTTTAACATGTCAACCTCCCATATTTTATGTCTTGTATTTTAGTTGTTATTAACCATTTTTTAAAAAGTTATTTCTTTTTTTTTTTTTAAGCTAGCTCAAGTGGTAGGGAAATTGGGTGTGGCTGGTAAGAAATGAAAACAGCTCCTGTAACATCTTCGATCTCCTTTCCAGCAAACTTGTAAGGGTTCAGAGAATCCTGGGAGATACCTTGGGAACTTGAGTTTCTCAGGATAAGAAGGCCAAATCTGTCAACAATCAAGGAATTGGCAGTTTGCGCTAAGCCCCTGAAACTCAAAACAAGGTGTCCATCTATTTATGGAAAAAGTGAGAGAAAGGCACACTGGGCTGAAACTGCAGAAAGTTCAAGCAGAGGCTGAATCCTCATCTTGTTAGAGGGCAATTCTTTGTTCTTCCGTCTACTACAATGTTTCTCAACCTTAGCAACTTTAAGATGGATGGACTTCAACTCCTAGAACATCTTAAAGCATGTGGGAATTGAAGTCCACTCCTCTTAAAGCATGCTCCCTGGGGAATTCTGGGAGTTGAAGTCCACCCATCTTTAAGCATGCTGGCTGGGGAATTCTGGGAATTGAACTCTATCTTAAAGTTGCTGAGGTTGAGAAACACTGGTCTCAAGTGCAATAAAAATTCTCAGCTAACAGTAACATGGTGAGTATCCAGGAAATTTTAGCTGAGTTCCAGTCAGTGAAAGGAAGGTGGCCTGAGTGTGATCTGTAGCAACTCAAAACCTCACTGGCTATTATGAGGTCAGGAATGCTTGATGCTGACCCTTCTGTCCTTATTTCTATTCTAGCACCATCTCTGACAACAGCAACCACAGCAACCACAGCGACAATAGCAACCCCACCCATTAAGGAACTGCCTCCAAGGCCTTCGATGGTGGGCTGGATCGTGGCTGGTGTGTTGGTTGGGATTTTGCTCTGTGGTGCCTTAGGAGCTGTTATGGTTTACCGGTTTGTTTTACAGAAGTCGGAACCAGGAACAGGGTATGAGTTTCAGAGTTCCTCCCCCTCCCCATTCAGTAATTATTCACATCAGGTCTCTAAATGCTGAATTTTGAAATTACAGCGTAGTTTGACAACTGTGGCTCTGATTCAGGTTGGAGAGAGAGAATTCTTTATTTCAGTTTCGATGAAAGAAAGAGCCCTCCTTATGATGTGCCCATAAGTGTAAGTGTGCAAAGGTTAGAAGTGTTGACCGATCCTCATTCTTATCCAACCCAATCTCGTTTTAGGGTAGCAGGAAAATTGGATCTAAGAGCAAAAAAGCCACCTGCGTCTAAACATGGTAAGCGTGCTATGATGTTTGTGAACCTTGGGACCCAGCTTCTTCCACCAAAAGATCTGAAGTATCATTTGAAGGGCTTGACAGGAATATCTTTTTCAATTAGGCTGGCACCCCAAAATGCCTTTTCCCCAAAAGCTAAACATGACCTCAAACTGGGCTTAGCTGCTGGGGATGAGGTGGACTCAAACATGCTGTTTTCTGGGCAATAGATCAGAAGAAGCTTATATATTTTATAGCTTCCAGTATATTTTCAATGTCTCAGTCTAGTTTTAGCCCTGGAATTCTTGAGTGGTCTCCCCTTCAGTTATTCACCAGACTGGATCCTGTTTAGGTTCCAAGCGCAGGGAAGTTCAGCCTCCATTGCTACCCCTTGAAACACTTTTCTGCCAAGTGAAGTCCATTTCACTCTGGGATTTTTGATGGATTCCTAAGGACCCAGAAAGGAATCAGCTAAATTTACGACATTCCTAACATTCCCCAAACGGTTCATATGCAGAAGCAGTTGGTTAACAAGGCAGGATGTGTTCAGACGGATTCAGCCCCCTTATTCCCACTTGCTGACACTCTCCACATGGGCTAGTGATGAAATGACACTGTTTTCTTCTGTTTTGCAGATGATAAGGAACCCATTTATGAGGTGATGGATTCTCCGGTGGAAACTCCAAAAGGTCCCCTCCCAATCTCTGGCCCTCTTCCGGTGAGTTTCCACCTGTCTTCTCCTTGGTTTCTTCTGAGGTGGAACAGTGAAGACGATTGATGGATCAGGAGATGGGCAGAGCCAAAATGGGCTGGATTCTTGAGTTGGTAAACTCATGTGAGCAGAAGATGGGTCTATGTTTCCTAGGGAGATCCTTGGAAGAATCCCTAGGTCTGAGGGACTTTTTCCATTGCTTTTATATTTGTCTCTCTTTGCAGCCTCTTCCAGGGACCTGCCTCAAGTTGGACTCAAACTATATGGTATGTGCCAAATTGGGTGATTTTCCTAAGCAGACCTTTCATGTGGTTTAATTTATAAGCACAACCCCATTTTGGTCAAAGGTTGATGTGTTGTAAGAAATCTTTCAGCCAGCCTTCCAACAGATGCCCAGTTAAAATTTAATGTTGTTGTTTGATGCTGTTAAAAGTATTGTCGCAGGATATAAGCTGTTCTAAGTAAAGCTGCCTTTTGCAATTGACTTATCATCATCATCATCATCATCATCATCATTTATTGGTGTATTTCTTTTTTTTAGGATTTGCTCTACAAAGCAGATTCCGTTTACTCTGAAATCAAGAGGTGATGATGCAGCTGAAAGATTGTTGTCTTCCTGATTCCTGGCTCATCTCTCATCCGCAATAATGACCCATCCCAGGATATTGGGATGAAAACAAAGTAATCCATATATTTCTACCTTTATGGGATCAAGGATTCTTTCTCTGCTAGACTGTGAATACAGCAAATAACTTTAACCTATTGTTAAGTTCAGATCTTAGTGAGTCCAAGACTGTCTCGTGATGGAATGGAGTCAAATGGAATTGAGTGGTCACTTGGCTCTCATCTTTCACCCAAAATGTGGGCCATAATTTAGAAGATCTAGAGGGATGGAAGAAGAAATGGACAGCTAGGGCCATCACTCAATATTGACTTGATCATGCAATTGTTCTGAAAAGTCCAAGGACCCCAAATAATTCATATATAGAGAAAAGCCCTGTTTTCTCTGGATGTGTGTGCAGAGCCATCAGCTTTGAGGTAGATTGTCAACCTGGAAGATTAGCTGCTCCAAGACAGCCAGATTTGGTGGAAGACTTCCTGTCTGAGGATTTCAGCAACTCTAATTTTCTATCTCCAAGGGCAAGAGCATTTAATTCCGTCTCACATCTGCAGTGTTGATGTTCTCCCCATTTTTCTACATCATCTTGTTACAACAACATCATGTCTAAACTGGTTTATTTTCATTCTATTGTTTGGGGGTGTTGTTTTTGTTTTAAATAAAGGGCCGCCCTTTTCTAAGGGTGGAGCACTTATCTCAACTGCCTGTAGCATCCCTCTAAAGAAGATGCAAAGATAAGGGAAACGCTGTTCGTGCTGGGAAATTTCCATGGTGGGTCAAATGGTAAGAAATGGTAACAGGGTCACAAGGTGGAACCAAATCATGTTTGTGATCTAGGTAAAAGAGGAAGTTCTCACATTTCAACTGAGAAAATAACTCACAATGAAAAGGAGAGGAAAGCAGAGGTTGTACGGCCTCCAGATTCAAGTATAAAAGAGAGCCCATCATACTTTCACAGAAATAAGTTCCAGTGGATTTAATGGAACTTATTCCCAGGGCATCCTTCCTCAACCTGATGTCCTTCACGTGTGCTGTTCTGCCTAGCATGGCTCAAGTTCAACTCCTTGGGAGCTTAGAAAAGGCAAGCACATTGCCTCTTGTTCAGGACATGCAACGTGCTATGTGATCTTACTGACATCCTTCTATTATAGAGTTTCACTGCAAACCCTTTAGGGCAGAGCCCTGAAACTTCTTTTTCTCACTGGTGGAACTGGTATGATGGGGAATGTTCACAAACCTCCTAGCTACTCAGAGAGTGCAAGACTTGAGAGACCAGAAAGACAATTCTTAAATTGGGGTAGAGCTGTGATTGACACCCATATCCATATGGCAAGACTAGATAACAGGGAAATTAATCAGCATTCAAGATTATGAAATAAAAGGACCATAGATGGAGGCTCTGAGGAAGAAGTGTCAAGACGTAGAATCCCGAGAAAGATGTAGAGTTAACTGATGTTACTCATGAGGTCTAGAAAGTTGAAAGACTTGAGCTAGGGATATTGGAGAAGATTGCTAAAGGAGTCATAGAGGCCCACATAGGTCAAGAAAAACATGGACTCGGGTGTCTGCAGGGTATGGTTACAGGGACAATATGTCCTTTATTATAAAGGACAGTGCTTTATTTCTGAAAGCTGTCCTTTAGATTTATTTATTTCTCAAAAACTCACTTTTGTCCTTTCTGGTGGTCATTTCACTTTTACTGTACAAAGGGTACCACTTCATGCCCAGTCTTTCACATTCGTGTGAAAAATATGGAAGTTGGATTTTTGTATAAAATAAATTCACCTGTCCTGCTTGCTTTTAGATATTTTTAGTAGAATATGCGTTTTTGTAAAGTTTTTCTTGGTCTGGCTTTTGAACTTCCCTTGTAAAGCCAAGCTACCAACATAAACAATTACATTTTTTAAAATCCTTATGAACCTCTTTCAGAATTGCCCCTTTTTCAGGTTTGTCCTTGATGTTTTCCAAGAAAATAGGGTCACCGAGGTAAGATTTAAAAAATCAAGATGGCAGTTGTGCATGAAAAGCAGGTGGAGCTTCGATGGTGCTCTTGTGCCTCCATCTTGACTTTTTTGACCATACGCTGCAGACCCATCTACATGGCTCCTTGAGAGCCTTTGAAGGTGGAATGATTGTTGTGGGAAAAAAAGAAAAAGAGGGAGGGAGAGAGGGAGAACTGAATGGCATTCTGCAGAACAGGGCATGGCTTGTTGTGAATCACTGAACCATTCCACCCTGAAGATCAAGCCACCATTTTCTACTTATTAATCTTGATCCCGGATTGAACCTTTCCCTACATTCAGCTGGCACGCTCCGGAGCATTTGCTCTGCATTGATTAGCAGGCTGGCTAATGATCAATGCCTAGAATTAGAAAACTTCCCGAAAGCAACCCGTCCCACTCCTTTGCTCCCCTGGGGCATCCTCCAAACTGGAAATCATCCAACGTGGGCCACATAATTACTTTGCCAGTTCTCAGACGTTTGGAATGCATGCTTGCTCTGCTCCCTTTTAAGAGCAGGTTGGCAACAGGCAGAAATGACCTAGGTGCAGCTTGTTCTCAGGCATGGAAAAGGGGAGGAAACTCTTCTCGCCCACCTCATCATCAAGAAATTGGGTCCGCCTGTTCTTAAAGGCGCCACCGAGGGCCAGCCCAAAGCAGAAAAGTTGGTAGTCCTCTGAAGACATCCAGATCCTGGATGTTACCTCTTCCATAGTCTGAACTTAATTGAAAGGGAGCTTTACATTTAAAATTTTTAGATTTAGGTTTTGCAGGAGATCAAAGGAAAGTCTGAGAATATGAGTTGTTCGTTCGTTTCATTGAACACAGGGTTTCTCAACCTTGGCCAGTTGTGTGGACTTCAACTCCCAGGATTCCCCAGCCAGCATATTGCTACTCATCAGCTATTCAAGGCTGCTAACTAAATGTCATATAGAAACAGCTGTTGGATCAGTGGGCACCTTAGAAATCTTCTAAAGAAATAAAATAGGGGCTGCAAAACCCTGAACAGTGGCTGACAGAAAATGAACGCAGAATTTTTGCAGACCGGATCTGGTAGCCTGAACTTCCATATATAAAATATTAAAATAAGCAACATGATAGTGTTGGAATATTTTCCTTGTATGTTTACAATACGTTTAAATGAAGGATTGATGAAAGATTGGATAGGCAGTAGTAATGCCATTTTATAGAAGGAAAAAGCTGGTTCCTGCCATTATAAATAAACGAGCACATCATGCAGCAAAACCTATGTAAAGGAAGACATATATCTTATGTATAGGAAGACATATGTATAGGAAAGATAAAACGCCCATTTATATAGACTGGTGTTTCTCAACCTTGGCCACTTTAAGATGTGTGGACTTCAACTCCCAGGATTCCCCCCCCCACTAACCGGGCTGGGGCTTTTGGGGGTTTTAAATAACACAACTTATAATGAGCTAAGATATGGAAAAATACTTAAAA